GTTTCTGGGTGTGTTTCTCTCTCGTTTCCAGCTGATAGAGCCCGGCACCCCTCTCTCAGTGCTGGCTGCATCAACGGCATGGGTGCCTGCTGCTAATTTCCCTGCAACCGGGGCAGTTTTCTGTCCCTGCTGCCAGGACACAGGCTGGGGAGCAGGGACCGTCCCTGCGGGGACGCTGAGCACGTAGAAAGAGTTTGATTTGAAATCTTAAGCAGGCAATACAGGGAGAAAAATATGGAGAAGTCGGGACGCCGGGGCTGTGAAGCTGTGAAAGCTTTTATTAGATGGCTGATAACAGAGAGAGATGTTGGCTAGAAATGAAAATAGATCTTTATGGTCAAAAATGTAGGCTCTGTGGGCAGGACCCCAGGGTGGTGCGGGGCCGGTGTCGGGGAGCACTGCCTGGGGGATGCTCCTTGGATCACCACTGACCCTGCTCGACTGCGTGTAAGCTCTCTGGGTATGGCTAACGCTAAATTAATTTACATAAATCAAGCCAAAACATCTCTTGCTAATGCGGAGCGAGATGTGCCAATACTGCTGCTACCGATGTCTGTGTTTGCGGGTGCCCGCTCCGGTCTGCACGAGCGGCCGCGGTGCCAGGCGACTCAGAGAAAGCAAAGCAGATGGAGGAGATATAAGGGGCTATAGGAGACCTGGAGGGTGGTGTGCCATGTTAAGGCTGTTCCTTAGGGTGGAAGGCGTGGAAGAGCCGCATCCGGCTGATCTCTGAGCGGTGCCCGAGGCTCACCTCCACCAGACGCCGCCAGCCCGTGTCCCCAGCGGCCAGGCCTTTTGCTGCAAGCATGGACATCGTGGAGAAAGTCTTCTCTGTGGCCCAGGCCATCCACACACAATTCGAGCAGGTGAAGTGCTGTAAGCACCAGTGCCAGCGCCTCGTGGAGCGCATCCAGATCCTGCTGGAGCCCGTGAGGATCCTCAAGGCTCAGCCGACGAAGCACATCTCCTACCACGAAGAGGAACTGTTGAAGAAGCTGCTCTGGACATTGGGGGAAGCCCAGAAACTGGTGATGAAATACAGCCAGACCAGCTGGATCCAGAAGTTCCTGAGAGCTCACAGTGCCAGCGAGGAGTTTGTCTGGGTGAATGAGAGTCTGGAGGACGTCGCCCAGGGGCTCTCGCTCCTGCTGCAGGCAGAGCAGAAGCAGGCTTTCCTGGAGGCTTTCCAGGCAAAGACCTGTCGCAGGCAGGACGCTGAGGACATGAAAGATGACAGGGCTTTCTTGGACCAGGTGATCGCAAGTAAGTGTGCATTTAGCAAACCTTCTTTCCCTGAGACTGGCGGTTGGCATCTCTCCCCAGCTGCTGCCCAGCTTTGTCTTGATGGCCATGGCCAAGGAGAGCCAAAGGGACATTTAAACCACGAGAAAAACTAACCACATCAGTCCTGCACGTTCATCCAGCGGCCCCACCTCTGCACATTTCTCTCTCCAGGTACTGAGGAGCCTGAAGACATGGCCAAGGAGATCTACATCGACAGACAATGTATGGAGAGCAAGGTAGACTGGATGCAAAGCGAGCTGAACAAAATCGTGCGCGTGATGGATTGTAAGTCAGCGTCACACCTCTAGGCACCCTATGCACTGTGTCCTTTCACCCCGAGCCCTACCTAACGTGTCCCTCGTTCCTTCCCGGTGCATGGTGGAAGCAGGCTTGAAGAAGGTCAATGTTGGTAAAAGAGAAGACATCACCGAGATCAAGCGGGACCACCTCACCTTCTACAGACACCTGCAGGACACCAAGAGCTACGACCTCTACAAGGGCGAGTACCTCAAGTACCCTGTTGCCATCAAAACCTTCAAGAGGCCGCTGACCACCGACCCGGTGTGAGTTGTCCTGGGTGGGAGCAACATGGGGCAGCCAAGAGGGGAGGGTGGCACAGCACCATGTCATGCCTTGTTCCAGGGATCTCACCGTGCTGTCCCTTTCTGCAGGAAGGTGAGAGACATCTTCGAGAAGGAGATTCAGACCCTGAAGAAGTTTGAGTCTCCAAACATCCTGCGCATGTACGGGATCTGCATTGAGGAGAAAGGTAGGAGGTGTTGCATTAATGTCACCCTTTTCCCCCCCCCGCCTGTCCCCGACGCTAGCTGGTGGCAGATGGTTTGTTGTGGTCCCCTCCCAAGAGGGGGCACAAGGTGGGATGCTCAAGGTTTTGCCTTGCAGATGGGAGCCCCTGCTTCTCCATCGTCATGGAGTACTGTAAGCACGGGACACTGCGGGATGTGCTGACCAAGCAACGGCATCTCTCCTGGGATATCCGCATTCGGATGGCCCTGGGAGCTGCCAGGGGCCTTTACAGGTGAGCTCCTGCCTAAATCGGTGAGCAAGTCCATCTGATGACCCACAAGCCGTGCTCAGCTTCCTGGTATCTCTCAGTAAGCAGTGGTATCCTGTTAGACGCTGTTTCCACCACCTTGGGACACCGGGATGGGAGGCTGGTGAAGAAGTAGGCGGTGGGTTTGGACGCAGTAGCGCCCATCTCCCCTGGTCATTGGCCCCTACATCTGGCTTCAAGCCTCCAAAGGCCTGGAAAGGAGAAATCCCCTTCCCCGCACCCATAGAGCAGCTTCAGAAGCACCCTACAGCATGGCCAGTTCTCCTTACGGGTCCCGCTCATCCGCAAGGCTCGTTATTTTGCCCCAGCAGCTGCTGGAAGGGTTGGCTTGGCAGGGTTCATCCACCAGGACAGGCAGAGAGCTGCTGGCTTCTCTGGGTGCATGTCAGTCCATCCCCTAACGCAGCAGGAGGGAGCCCTGGGGTGGGGATGGGTCCACCACCAGCATATGTTGCCCTTGGTTCTGTCCGGCTGCAGGTTGCACCAGACGGAGGAGAAGTCCCGACTCCACGGCTGCGTCTGCAGTAGCAAGTTCCTGGTGGCCGGGGATTACTGTGTGAAGGTAAGGACCATGCTTGGAGAAGCTCCCGGGAGTTTTGCATGTCTCTGTGGATGTCTTCCCCCACCAACACCGAAGGGAATTATGGTGGTCCAGAATAACAGCTGGGGTAGAGTCATCTCCCCTGTCACCTTAGACACTTAACATCTCAGTTCAACATTATCTCTGTTTTATCATCAGCAAAGTGAGTGTTTCTGAGCCGTCCACCCTGGGATGAGCAGTTCACCTGCCTCCACCTATGGTTTCGCTTGCAGAAAGTGCCACATGCCGGGCAGCACACGTGGCTGCGTGCCAGCCTTTGCTGCCCAGGGCACCGCGCTCTGTTTTCTCCAGCTCGGGGCAATCCTCAGCCATGCCACAGGTTTCTGCAGACTGTGCTTCTACCACTTCTCCTCCTCTCTCTCTCATTCTCTCAATCAGCTGTCGGGATTTGAGCTGTGTGAAACGGAGTCTTCCATCAAGAGGAAAGCCAAGAAGAACTGGAAACAAGTCTCTATGTTGGCTTACATCGCCCCTGAGAACCTGCAAGACATCAACTACCCCTACAAGAGGCCCTGTGAAATATACAGGTGTGTCTGTCCCTCCCAGGAGAGGTGCCCGTAAGCAGGCAGATGCCTGGCAGCGTAGCTGTTGAGCTATGGAAGAAAGCCAGGTTTAATCGGACACATAAGCAGCCGTTTGTGGTTGGCATAGCCCGACAGACCCCTACGTTAGGAAGGAGTAGAAGGTGGTAGGATCAATGCTGAGACTCTTGCTTGTCTCCTTCCAGCTTCGGGATCGTGCTGTGGGAGATTGCGACCTCCAAAATCCCATTTGAAGGTGAGACAGAAGTATCTCATCCCCCGCGTAAAAGCCACACGGCCTGGTGCGGCTGCTGGCTGGCGTTGGGCGCTCCCTGCTCCTTCCCGGAGCATCCCGCGGCGTGCGGGTCCCAGTGGCAGTGCCTGGCGTGCAAAACAGCTTCATGGCTTCTCCTGGGACTCCAGTACAGTACAGCATTTCAGCGACATGCTTAAACCACAAACATGCAAGTGATTTTTGTCTCCGTTTGATCTTCCTGTGCATCGAAGCGTAAACACATCTCCCTGCTCCACTGGAGCCCAACAGTGTCATGCCAAATATGGGGGGGTTCATTGCAGACACAGTTTGGGTGGCTTCTCTGCTGGCTTCTCCATGCCACAGGCTGCAGGAAGGCTCTTGGCGTGGCTTTGCACTGGGTTTCCTCCCCAGCACCCTCCTGTGACAGCAGAGCTGTCCTGACACTCCTGTTTGCACGCGTGTTGTCTAGGCTGCACTCCCCAGGAGATCACGGAGAAAATCTGCAACCACCATTACCGGGACCCTGTTGGGGAAGATTGTCCTGCAGACCTGCGGAAAGTCATTGACCAGTGCCGGGCCTTTGACCCTTCCCAACGCCCTTCTGCAGAGGGTAAGTGTCCTGGACATCTGCTCCCCGCTCCACAGGCCCTTTGTATCCCTCAATCAGCTGCTTCAGGGGTCAGTTTGCCCCTTATTTTCCATATGAATTTGTCTGGCTTTGTGTTTCGGGATCACTCCTTGACCTACCTTCTTATGCTAACGAGTCCCCTAATTAGACCTCTTTCTCCTGTAGTGTGATAGTTCATACAGTTAGCGTTTATCCATGCCTTGACAATAATCACCAGGCTGTTCATCTGGCATCACGTAAGAGTAAGCTTTTTCTCTCAGACAAGCGCCGAACTGGGAGCAGGGGTGCGTGGGTTAATCCCCACTCAGGTCCTGCAGATCTGTAAGCTGGAGGAGCAGCCACGACACGGTGCAGGAACATTTCCTGCCTTGGGCTTCCAGCAATAAATCGCAATCTTGGGAATCGCTCTGCGGCGGGGAAGATTTCACCGTCTTTGAAGTTGGTCTGGGTCTGATCAGATAAATAATTGGTCTCCATCGGAAGATTTAACAGAAACAGCAGGAAAAGATAGAGGAACTTTTTCGGTGTGCTTGAAGGCACAGAGATTGTACCCTTCCCTCAGTTCATCTCTCCAAGGGAGAAAGCTTCCTTCAAACTCACCCGCCCCATCCTACGGAGATGGTTTCCATACAAGAGATATGGAGCGTGTGCTTAAGAAACCACCCAGCTCCTGCTGTGTGCCACGCTCTCTGTGCCTCCGTCTCCCAACAGCAGCTCCCCCAGCAGACCCTGCTGCAGGGAATCGCCCCGGATGAAGTGAAAACACCGAAAAATCATCAGAAACGTTGGCAAAGCCGCACTGAGGATACAGCATGTCTTTATTACTCTAATCCAACGTCCAGCCATGCCTGCGTGGTGCTGAGCTGGAAGGATGTCTTCTCACAGCTGTTTCCAGGCATCTCTCTGTACACATGGCTGCTTCTCTTTGGGCTGTACTCACCTGTGCCTGCTCGGGGCTGCCCCCCACTCATGGCTGCCCAGTCGCGCTGGCCTGAGGAGAGAGGGACTTCATGTCCCAGTTGTTATCAGTGAGGGAAAGCTATCTTCTCCTCAGGGTTAAAAAAAAAAAAAAAAAAGCCTACAACAAATATTCTGCATTGATTAACGCCATCCTTGTGTTTTGCAGATATCGTGGACTTGCTGGCTGACCTGGAGAAAAGCAGAAACCAAGGAAGTTAACTGCGGGAAGCGGGGTCGGGTGACCAAAAGCAGCCGGGTGCCTCGGAAAGCAAGCCAAGGGAAAGCAGCGGGCCTTCCTCCTGCAGGCCGAAGCGCGCTGCTCGCCCCTCTTCCCCGCCTCCGCGGAGACCGATCGTTCAATACACGTGTATTTGTTTCTGTAGGCCGAGCCCTTCCCCTCCCCGAGGGGCCGTGCCTGGGTTCGCCTCGGAGGCGGCTGGCGGGTGAGGGCACCCTGCCACAGGCTCTGTCCCCGAGCGGCCGCCCCCAGGGCATGCGGGGGGAGGCCGGGAGAACCCCGGCCGCCGCCGGGG